ACACACACACGCAAACACACACAGGGCTTCTCCTCTCCGCCGCACTCCAACTTACTGCCAGTTTGGGAGTTGTCTTCCTCTCGTCTTGATTGGCAGAAATTAAACAAGATGCCATTTCGCTCAACCTCCTTCATATCTTCCACTCGCTTTCCCCGGTCAGGATGCCTCAACGTGTCCGGGACACAACTCCCGACGCCGGCCGTGAAACGTCCAACCGGCACCCTCCGCATGCTCCCTCTCCCCCCCCAACAACACCCCCTGCCCGGTAGTCCGCGCGGTTTCGATCCGGCAGCCGGCGCACTTTGCCCGGCGTGCAGCCCCGTGGAGCCCCGCTGTCTGTCTGGAGCTCCGCTGTCTTCTTTCCGCGAGCCCTGCAACAAGAAAAGCCGTTTATGGCGACACACAATGTGAAAAGGGGGCCGATTTAAAAAGGAGAAGAATGCAAGCAAGAACAACAAAAGTCAGTTATAGCAAAGTCTATGCCTCTCCTCTCCTATCTTCCACCCCCTAGCTTAGCCCACATAATGAGCAGGAAAAAGCTTTATATTTTGTTCACTGGGTATTCACAGATAATTTGAAGCCATTGTTTCTGCCACAGATGGTTCTTTTTAATACAATAACGGTGCTCTTTGTGAATAGCGAGCCCACAATAAAAATCTAAAGCGTCCTCCTGAATAACCATTTTGTTCTCTCTTGTATAGGCCGAACAAAAGCGCCAGTGAGGTAATGGCCTGCCTTATTGAAAGCCTCAGAATGGGGATTTGATAAAGATTTTTTTCGCTCCTTTTTCCTTTTGCACAAAGTACACGGCAATGTCAAAGAGAAACTGACACGGCATGAAAAGGAAAAAGGCTTGAAAAAGTGCTTGCTGCTGCAGGTTACAACAATTATTATTATTATTATTAATTATTATTATTATTATTATTAATTATTATTATTAATACTATTTTGTAACTTTCTGCAAAAGTCAGAGGTGAGAGGTTGTTTTTTGGGGCTGCAGCAGAGCAGGTCAGGTGCAGGCATGTTATGGATTTTACAATGGAGCTTAAATCCAGAATACATTAGCCTCCAAAGGTCTGCTGTGGATTTGGCACAGTCTCATAATTTTGCATAGGGTGACTCAAGTTGTGCTCGCTAGAATTAAGTATTCAGGGCGCAT